AGGAGGGATGATGGGAGTAATCATTTCCCAACAGCTGTATTCTTGTCCTAGATTCTTGCCTACTTAAAAATAAACATTGTAACCCAGGTTAGCTCTTAAAAAAACGATCCAATCAATCAATCAAAGCTAATCAATCTCAATCATGAAAAAGCCTATGGCAGTGACAGGAAAAGTAGGCAGCGATTATGAAGGTCTTTTAACTTTTCCCTAAATTCTTAAACTTACACCTTTACAGCTAGTCTGTGATGACCCAGGTTGTGCCACAAAAGCAACAAAGTCACAAAAATAGGTAAAGTCCCTTTTTAATACCTCCAACTTGGCCCCCAATGTTCAGTTATCATCGGCTGGAGAAAAAACTCTCCCAAGAACAGTTTTAAAGAAGAAATTCACTCTGAACCCAAAGTACATATAAATTATAAATAAAAACCAACATAAACCACACTGCAGCAATTAAGGGATTGAAGACGTCAAAAGATAATGAAACACACACACTTGGGAGGATGCCAGAACTCAGATAAGACTTGACAGACCAGAATAATTTCATGCTTTGCTTCCAGCAGTTTGCCCTTTTAAAGTCTTCCCAGCTGCAACCAATAAAGGGGATCAGGACCCTTTCCTCCCCCGTAAACCACGCAACTCACGTTGCTCCCTTCTGTTCCTCCCTGTGTGCCCTAGGATGAAGAGGGGGTGGGCCTAGGCCTTCCTCTGAATGCCCAGCTGGGATGTGCCCTTCCCCAGTTTCCTTCACAGCCACCGGAGCCACACTCCCACTCCCTGTAAGCTGTTCCACCACTCTCTCGGAATCAGATTCCAACAGGGGCATGACATAGTCCTTGATTTATGACCACAATTGAGCCCAAAATTTATGTTGCTAAGCAAGGCACTTGCTAAGTGAGTTCTGCGCCATTTTACAACCTATCTTGCCACAATTTCAAATGAATCGATGCAGCTATTAAGTTGTTTTGAAATAAAATTAACCTAGTACATAATTTGCAGGATGTGAAAGTCCAATTGCACGTGGCACTTACCCCCAAAGTTTTATTTTCTTTTTTAAAAAGATCTTTGAAAATGAGACAAAATGAGAGAGGCCATGCCAGAAAAGTGGGGAATGGGTGAAAGCCCACAGTGTGACTGTGGTGCTCCAGGACAAATGGTAACACATATGGTTCAAGAATGTGTCCTCAGAAAATTCAAGACACCTGGGATGATCTCATGGCAGCCACACCAGAAGCAGTGACATGATTAGCTTCCTCAGATATTGAATTATAACATTTATCCCACTGCAATTATATGGCTCCATACCATGATGGTTTTATTATGTTTTATCTTAATTTAATATTTTATCTCCTATACTGTATTGTCCACATGTCTCTCTCTCTCACTGTCTTTCCCTTGTCTACTTATTTATATATAGTTATTCTATATATAGTGGAATAAATGGAGGGACACAGTGGCTCAGTGGCTAAGACGCTGAGCTTGTTGATCAGAAAAGTCGGCAGTTCGACAGTTTGAATCCCTAGCGCTTTGTAATGGAGTGAGCTCCTGTTACTTGTCCCAGCTTCTGCCAACGTAGCAGTTCAAAAGCATGTAAAAATGCAAGTAAAAAAATAGGGACCACTTTGGTGGGGAGGTAACAGCCTTCAGCGTTTAGTCATGCCTGCCATATGACCACAGAGACGTCTTCAGACAGCGCTGGCTCTTTGGCTTTGTAACAAAGATGAGCACTGCTCCTAGAGCCAGAAACAACTAGCACATATGTGCGTGGGGAACCTTTACCTTTACCTATTCCAAATGGTCCACCTTGAAAAATTAGTTCTTGGTGAAAAAAATTCTGTATGTAAACAAATCAGGAATCTTCTCTATCTCCGGTTTTATTTATTTATTTAGCACAGGGGTCCCCAACCACCGGTCCGCGGACCGGTACCGGTCCGTGGAACAAGCCCTACCGGGCCGCTGGTTGCTGGGCGCTGCCATCTTTTTTTGATGAAAAAGTGCTTCCGGTGAGCTTTTCCGGGTAGAAAGCTCACCGGAAGCACTTTTTCATCAAAAAAAGATGGCGGCGCCCAGCTGATGCCGGTACCGGGCCGCAGCGCCCAGCTGATGCCGGTACCGGGCCGCGGCATAAAAAAGGTTGGGGATCACTGATTTAGCATATGTCCTCTACAGAGATCAAACAATCACTGATATACAAATGTAGTTTAAATAAAGCATCAGCAAATACACAGGTATATATGCTGATGCTTTAAGCTAAATGTGTGTGTGTGTGTGTATGTGTGTGTGTGTGTGTGTTTTATTTAAGCTAAATTTGTGTATCAGTGATTGCATGACCTCTGCAGTGACCATACACAAAATAAATAAATAAAATGAGACAGAACATAATTGGAGATAGAGAAGATGTCTTATTTGTTCACATACAGATTCTTTTTTCACAAGAACTAGTTTTCCAAGATGAACCATTTGGAATAACTACATATAAATTAAGAAGACAAGGGAGAGACATGGGCTACCCCGGAAGGTCACATCCAGGAAACCAACCTCCGTAAGGTTTTGCATCGCTCAGCACAGCCACTGAAATGAAGTAAAAAAACATGTCAAAATAGCGGTTGGGTAGGACTCGTATTGCAAACACACACTGTGGTTTGGTGTGTAGCCAAATACATCAGGGGAAGCCTTTAAAATGTTAAATATTGTTCCCACACTGGACACTGCTTGTAACTCCCAATGCAGAGCAAACAGAATTCCTTCCTAGTAGAAACTAACAACTGTCCCAAGGGGAAATGGGGGATGTGCCACCCTGCCAGTATTTTTAGAAATAAATATACAGAGGGAGAGGGAGAGGGAGGGAGGGAGGGAGGGAGGGAGGGAGGGAGAGAGAGAGAGACTGAGACTGTTAATGGAAAAAGTCAATGGAACAGAAATGAGAAAACATTATGCAAAATATGGATGATAAATTATAACCACCAATGTAGATTATAGTATCCTCACTCCAACCTGCTGCTTTACATTGGTGTTGAATCCAACTCACATTATTTCCAGCTACTACAGGTAGATCTCGATATAAACCTTTTCTTTAGTGACCGTTCAAAGTTACAACAGCACTGAAAAATGCGTCTTCTGACCATTTTTCACACTGATGCTCACTGTAGCATCCCCATGTCCACATGATCAAAATCTGGGCACTTGGCAACTGACCATGTGCATATGACATTTGCAGTGACCCAGAATTGTGTGATCACCGTTTATAAAATATAGAACACTTATTAAATACACAATAGCCATGTCATGCGATTTGGCCATTTTTGAAGACGCAACAGCTGAATGTACATGGCATACCCCAGAAAATAAATTTCACCGAGATGCTAATGTTCCTAGATAATGGCTATACTTCCAAATAATAGTAGGCAGGTGCTGTTTCATGAACGTGAAACACAAGCCTAAGTAACTTCCAGTATTTTAGATTACATCCCTTATCAAATCCTGGCCATAGTGTTTCTCAACTTCAGCCTCTTTAAGAGGTGTGGACTTCAACTCCCAGAATTCCCCAAGCCAGCATGCATCTTAAACTGACCTTAGAAACACTGGTTTAGAAGAAGCAGCAAGCATCCAGGCATCAGCAAGACAGCCAACGAACTATCCTTGCACTAAACCCACTAAATTTAAGAACTAATGATCCAGGCCCCCAATTCAAACTCAGAGAGGAAGTTCCACCCATCCATATCAGCTAATATTTAATTACTAAAATGACAGACAGCTTGTTTGGAATTAATATTTCCATCTTATGTCCAGTAACTTTATTCGGGCTGCTAGAAATTAGCAACCTTGCACAAGAGGCTTGTTTATTTATTTAAATTGTATATACTCACCCATCTCACTTTTGAGATTCTGGGAAATGCACCCATTTTCCTGTGTCTCCTAAGAAACTCATTTTATTTCATGTCCCAGAGCAAAGCTCAACAGCACTGAATCAAATTAAACTCCATAGTTATAGCTGTGAGTCCCTGGAATTTCTGCAGGGTACATATCCCTCTTTGGGGTCCACCCACGTTTTTTATTCAAATGTTGAATAAAATAAATGTTGAGGTATGGCAGATGAAGTTTACCTCTTCATCAACCGACCCCAAACTGCCCAGGCCTGCATTTTCAAGGCCATTAAAAACCTATTACATCCTCCTGCCCCCTCCCCAAAACACCTCCCCATTTCAAAGAAGACACAAAAAGAGGCGACCAAACCTTTTAAACTAAAGCGCTGGGTTGCTACCTACACTTAGAAGAGGCTCCGTTGTCTCTGGACTCCAGGCAAAACTTCACACAGCTGCAATAGACTCATTTTTCTGCGGCACACTGGATTGCAAAACAACCGCACAACCGGGTTTTGCCCAAGCCCGGTTTAGGGCTAAAACCACGACTGAAATGTAATCTAGCTAAGCCAGGGTCTTTGCGTTGCCCCATGTTTAAACCACGATTAAGGTGCCGCCGTTGATATAACCCAAGAGCCCCGGTTCGCACAAAGCGCCGGGCTCATCAAACTAATCACAATCGCTGGACTCGCGTTGTAAATTCAGGCACACATTTAATGAATAGTTTTCCTCTCTTCGCATCATTTAGTTGAGCGAATTGGCGGCCCCGGTCTACCCGCAAGGTTCAATTCTCCTACGTCCCCCGCCCCCGCCACCTTTTTTTTACTGCCGAAAAGTGCCACGAAGCCGTCGGAACTTACTCCGGAGTAAACAGAGGGACGCTGGCATGTAAACCTGAAGCCTCGCTTCGTCCAAATCTGACCGCGGCATCCGTTCGCAGGACAGCCGGGCGCCGGAGGCTCAAGAACGCCCAGCGAAACTGGCTCTCCCACCCCTCGCGTAAAGCGGCGCAAGAGATCGACCCGCCCGGGAACAGCAGCGCTTCCTGCCGGGTGAAAAGAGGACCGGGGGGTGGGAAGCTCCCGGAGAGGCTTTCCTCTCACCCCCAAGCCGCGAAACTCGCCCGCCCTGCCCCCCGCTCACCGGAAAGGCTGCATCCCCCGCCGGCCCGGAGAGCGGAGCGGAGCCGAGCGGAGCCAAGCGGAGCGGCGGGGCGCAGAGCCAGCCCTTTGTTTCCCTGGCGCATCCACGCGCCGCTGGCTTCTGGAGAGCGCGCGGCTTCCACTTGTGGGGAGGCCGGAGGAACTTCCCCCGCTCCGCCGCCTCCGCTTTTGGCGGATCGGACGAAAGAGCCGGCGGGCACGGAGGCATATGCGCAGCGAGAGAGAGAGAGAGAGATTTCTCCTGAAGAGAAGTGTGTGTGTGTGTGTGTGTGAGAGAGAGAGAGAGAGAGAGAGAGAGATTTCTCCTGAAGAGGAGTGTGTGTGTCTATGTGAGAGAGAGAGGGAGAGAGACTTCTCCTGAGAGGAGTGTGTGTGTGTGTGTGAGAGAGAGAGAGAGAGACTTCTGAGAGGAGTGTGTGTGTGTGTGAGAGAGAGAAAGAGAGAGACTTCTGAGAGGAGTGTGTGTGTGTGTGTGTGTGTGAGAGAGAGAGAGAGGGAGAGAGAGACTTCTGAGAGGAGTGTGTGTGTGTGTGAGAGAGAGAG